TGCTTTAAAAGGCCACTGTGTGAATAAAAGTTTAGTTCTGCTCCTGATGCTGTGTGTCGTCCATTGGGATTGCTGTTGGGATACTGCTATATTGTTTTACCTGCTGGACACCCTGTCTTATGGATTTATACGTGTTCCTGAGCCTCACTGGGATCTTGAGCGGAGATATCTTGTGGAATACTGGATCTCCGCTACAGAGACCAACATCCCTAGAATAAAGGGGAGACCAACACCCCCCAAATAAAGGGGAGATCAACAACCCCAGAATAAAGGGGAGACCAACACCCCCACACCCCCAGAATAAAGGGGAGACCAACGCCCCCAGAATAAAAGGGAGACCAACACCCCCACACCCCTAGAATAAAGGGGAGACCCACACCCCCAGAAAAAAGGGGAGACCAATACCCCCACACCTCCAGAATAAAGGGGAGACCTACACCCCCAGAATAAAGTGGAGACCAACACCCCCACACCATAGGATTAAGGGGAGACCAACACCCCCACACCCCAGAATAAAGGGGAGACCAACACCCCCAGAATAATGGGGAGACCAACACCCCCACCCCCCCAGAATTAAGTGGAGACCAACACCCCCACACCATAGGATCTTGTGGAATACTGGATCTCCGCTACAGAGACCAACATCCCTAGAATAAAGGGGAGACCAACACCCCCAGAATAAAGGGGAGACCAAAACCCCCAAATAAAGGGGAGATCAACAACCCCAGAATAAAGGGGAGACCAACACCCCCACACCCCTAGAATAAAGGGGAGACCAACGCCCCCAGAATAAAGGGGAGACCAACACCCCCAGAATAAAGGGGAGACCAATACCCCCACACCTCCAGAATAAAGTGGAGACCAACACCCCCACACCATAGGATTAAGGGGAGACCAACACCCCCAGAATAAAGGGGAGACCAATACCCCCACACCTCCAGAATAAAGGGGAGACCTACACCCCCAGAATAAAGTGGAGACCAACACCCCCACACCATAGGATTAAGGGGAGACCAACACCCCCATAATAAAGGGGAGACCAACACCCCAGAATAAAGGGGAGACCAACACCCCCAGAATAAAGGGGAGACCAACACCCCCAGTCTCCCAGAATTAAGTGGAGACCAACACCCCCACACCATAGGAATAAGGGGAGACCAACACCACCAGAAAAAAGGGGAGACCAACACCCCCACACCCCCAGAATAAAGGGGGGACAGACACCCCCCACACCCACAGAATAAAGGGGAGACAATAGTCTATCGCAAACTGCTAACGCTCGACTTTTGTGGAAGCTGCCTGGTTAACATACACTGGGTGAGTTCTCTGCCATAGGGCTCCCCATTTTATTGAGTATATTAGCGACAATTGCTTATCAAATGATCACATATGCCATGTGCTTAGGTAAAAAGTGCATATATGATTATTGTGACGAAGTGCCCTTCGCCACTTGTGCCTGGAGAGGACTGCTTGCCCGCCTCTTGCCCTGTGACTATGGCCCCTGGTTTGTATTGCCCTTTAAAGACATGATTTGGGCATAATGGATTTGTGTTGTGCTGCTGCTGGCCCTTTAAGAACCATCTGGGGACATACTGTGGAGTTACTGGGTGGCCACCATTTCCTGTATCAGAAGCACATGGTGAGAACAATGGATGGCGGCCATTTTAACTCACAGACACTGTTTGGACTTTTCAACACGGTGCCATCTCGCCAGTATTTGGTGCACAGAGACATTGTGCAGTGGTTTTGGACTATACAGCAGGGGACACATTATAAAGTGATTGTTTTTCATTTAGCCTGTATATGTTCTGCAGAATCTGCATTAAACTGTATTTTCCAAAGTACTGAACGGATCTGGGTGAATTTTGGATATGTGGTTCAACCAGATCCCCCGGTTCCAAGGATATACTTTTTATGGGGTTATTGCATGTTTTGGGGTCCCTGTGTGTTTTATGAAACTGTATTATTTCTGGCCAGCAGATAATTGAGCTTTGTGTATTGTAGAAACTCAATTATCTAGCCTGGCCCAGAGGAGGAGTTTTGTGTTGCATAAATTGTGAGTTATGTGTGCCAGTAAATCAGTCTTGTTCCAGCATTAAGCCTTGGCTCATGTTTGGGGGAAGGGATACCTACACTCTGGGGATTGCTATAATCACTTACTCCCCAGAGGAAGCTCTTGCAATAGCTTGATTTGTTCCTGTTCCTGCTCTCTGGGGAAAGAGAGGTTCACCCACTGGAAGCTGGATCCTGGCCTTGGGTCCAGGGTGGGTGGAAACAGCAGAGACCCCGGCGCAGTTGCATCGCTGGAAGTGGGGTCTGCAGTGCTGATGGTGTCGGTTGGAGTGCTTGGAGTCCTCAGCGAGCACTAGGAGCATCGATTGGCGGAGGTACTCAGTCGGAGTGCCAGCGTTCCGTCACATTTGGTGGCAGCGGTGGGATGGCATCCTAGTGCGAGGACCAGCAGCTCGGAGACACCGGTAACGTGTGGAGTTACGGATTTATAATTGAGGGCAACGCTAGCCTCTGCGCAGCGTCCCTACCTACAGCAACATGGAGCTAGCAAGACCATGGACAGCAGCCAGTGAATTGCAAATCCGCCTGTCACAGTGATACCGGAGAAACTGACGGAAGCAAAGCACAGAGAGATGGACACAGGTTTCTTCAGGAAGGAAGAGATTCTTTATTGGATCACCGATCGGGACTCAGAGGGACTAATGTCACCAAAAATACAGCAAGTTCTGAGCCCTGAACAATAGTGCAGGCTCCCTATACAGGCACATAACTCCTCCCATATTAAGCTCCACCCGCACATTCTCTTGACCAATCATTACAAATAAGAATTAACTTCCTGCTTGACCGCATGGCTTGTCCAGCACAATGGAGGAGGGGAATACTACATCCTGTATTCTTGCACATGCTCCGTACACTACTGATCGTATCTTGCCTCGTGCAACCAACTGATCGATACGTCAGCATATGCACGTACACATGCCACGTGGTAATCTCGGCCTACTAAATTTATTTTTACCGAGATTCCACCACATTCCCCCCTTTGATGCCTCTTGATATTTTACAATTACTTGAGGCATCACTTAACCTTGGTTTGCATACACCACAAGTTACCTTTGAACCAGACCAGACTTATCCTATGATGTGAATCTTCAACACTCGTCTTCCTGCATTGGTTCTCCCTGATCTAGAGCCTTATATTTATAAATTACCATTATCTGTGCAGCAGCTCTCTGCTATATTTTCTATCAGGCTTTGCACAGACCTAACTACTAAGGGTATAAGACACGGCAGGAGTAGACACAACATTAAAATCAGTAGGACTCCACCTACCACTGCCTTAAGCCCTCAAAACCACTCATACCAGCTACCAAACCAACTACTTGGATTGTACCCTTTCCATACCTGAGTAGGCACATGCGCTAGTTTAACCATATGGCTAGTAAGCTCAGCTATTGCTTGCCCTTCGTCATCTATTTGAAGACAACAATTGCTCAGGTTAAACTTCCCACATACACCTCCCTCTACTGCCAAAAGATAATCCAAGGCTAATCTATTTTGGTAAACTGCTGTCCTCATCCTGGTATTATGCTTCGCTAGAAGATTGAGCGCTTGTGATGTCTCGTTAGTAATGATCTCAACCACCGCCTGCAACCTTATAATGCGGTTGAGCATATAAATAGGGGTTCTATAACCAAAGGTACCATCCTCTGCCCACGTGGCTGGCCCATAATAATCTATAATACGCTGGGAGGCCATTCATTATCTTCCCAGGCACCTATCTCTATGGGTCCCCTTTTCTTCCTATGATTCACATCATACACTTTAACACCTAAAGTCTCACCTGTTTCAATAGGCAACAAGAAGAAGGATGGTTTTAACATACCCAACACACATGCCCCTTCCCAGTCCTGTGGTAACTTCGAATAGGCCTTCTTACCACAGATCCAGTACAAATTCGCTGGGGCTCTCCAGTTAGATGTGATGGATAGATCAAACCATACGTCCTTTAAATTGGCATATCTTGCAAACGGGTTAGATGGTTCTGAGACATTTGAAGCCGACCACCAAGTTGTGTTCTTTGTATCATCATCATAAGCTTTTTGCCCTAGACAAGTTAATTCTCCTACAGAAGTATTATACATCATTCCTTTCCTCGCTATGCAAACATAACCTATGGTGGAGGTCTTCAATCTCCACTCAGATTTACCTCTAACACTCATATGATAGTCGGCTTGTGTAGATATTAATTGGTCAACTGCCTCAGAACCGGACATTACCTCCTTTGCTTCCCAAGGCCATTGGTCTCCCATGTTAGTACCTCCACACACATAGCAGTTGGTAACATTGAGACTACCGGCAATACTCTCGGCTAAATCAATGAACAAGTTTTTAGCATTATGGGGGATCTTATTATCTATGCTCATCTCTTCATAAAAGGAATGGTATACTTGATGAGTTTGGGAGGTTGCCGTATCAGTCTCTATCCCTATAAACAATATTGTCCCAGGGTCTAAACCCGTCCCATATATTTGAAACCCAAATAAATTACCATATTTATCTAAGAACTTGTCAGGGTTATTTATAAGTATATAGATTGGATTGCATTCCATAGACTTACAATATGGATCAGTAGGCAACTTAGTCACAATCATGTCCTTGTCTGCTGTCTGTCCCCAAGTCGCCCACCCCACACAAGACCAATATGGGCAGAGGTTATAATCTCTATTTGGGCATCTTGGACTTACATATTTATTTTTACTACTGGGACAAATATATTTATCGTTAGACCCATACGTCCTCTCCCATCTAAGATCCCCACATACATTCCACGACTTTCTACCACTTGATATTGCTTTACACGCATCAAATAGCAGAGCACCTGAAGAATATACGGATTTTAATACCGTCTTATTAATTAGGGTCCCCTGAGAATCTCAATTTCTGAGAGTCAACCAAATTGTACGGGGTTGATACTCAGGACTGAAGCACTTAGGTTCTCCTACTCCTAAATGACACACACTATATTCTATATTTAAGTATCTACATCTTGATACATCTCCTTTACACTCATATTGCGAATGCCAAATTAGGGTCTGGGATATATGGTTACCTGTTCTTGTAGTCTTAATGCATACCTCACAGCTAGGAGTGTTGGTACCTCTACCTTCCTAAATATAAAAATACACATAAATAAACATTATTAAAAAAACATCTTTCGTCGTCATCCTCAGTCTTCGTCCGTGCGAAGGCACCTCAGCTTCCAGGATGTAAGGACTGCAGGGAATGGAGTTCTGCTCGTCTTCACAGGGGTCCCCTCAAGACTTTCCCTAACTTATACACTCGTTGGTGAGTGGACAGGCTTTATTATGGCCTTCTCACTCACCAAGTCTCTGAAACAATAAAATTTGTAATCCACAAAGTTCCTCGTCACTCCGACTGAGTCGTGCGTTTTAACCGGATCTTGCAGGGATTCTCTGGATTTGCTGTAACTTGCCAGGAATCGGCTGCTGCTGGTTTAACCCTGGGGTGATGTATCCACGGAGCCACTTCGGCTACTTTTATCGCTGTAGGGGTAGACAGAAGAACAACATAAGGACCTCTCCACTTGGGCCCTAACGGCACATTATTCCACTCTTTAATCCACACTTGGTCGCCTGGGTGGTAACTATGAATTGGGGATAAATATTCACAGGTAATCTATCTTGTACCCATTTCTGTACCTCCTCCATAGTCTTACCCAACTCTACAACCTGCTGCCGGGTAATTCCTTCTCCCAACTGACTCAAATCCCCCCTTAAGTTACCAAGCACGGGAGGTGGTCGCCCGTACATGATTTCAAAGGAGAGAGGCCCATCCTTCTGGTAGGTGTACTACGGATTCGCAATAGAGCTATGGGCAAGAGAACGTTCCACTTAAGTTGGGTTTCCTGACACATTTTAGCCAACTGATTCTTAATAGTTTTATTCATTCTCTCTACCTTACCAGAACTCTGGGGTCTATATGCCGTATGAAGCCTCCACTTTATACCAAGCATATGAGTCAATTGTTGTAGGCACTGATGAACAAAAGCTTTACCATTGTCCGATCCTGTAGAGCAGGGTAGTCCATATCGGGGTATTATTTCTCGTAGCAGGAATCTCACGACTTCTCCTGCTTTCTCTGTACGAGTAGGACATGCTTCTACCCAGCCTGAATAGGTGCACACCACTACCAGCAGGTAGCGATGTCCACCCGATTTAGGCATCACTGTATAATCAATTTGTAAATCGGACATGGGAAGTCCCCCCATAAACTGGACTCCTGGTGGCTTTACTGGTCCTTGTCTTGCATTATTTTTAGCACACGTTACACATCTACGTACAATGGCCTGAGTCAAGTTGGACAATCTTGGTATGTAGAAATGTTTTCTGAGAGATTCTTCTGTACTGTCTCTCCCAGAGTGTGTCCCGTTATGATAGTTTTGGACAATTTCTACCGCTAGTGATGCTGGAATAACTATTCTTCCATCTTCTAACTGATACCATTTGTTCTCCAAATACTTTCCAGGTTCAGTCCTTAACCACTCCTCTTCTTGAGCTGTATAAATTGGAGTCCATTGAGACAGTGGAGTTGGTATAAGAGCAGCTATATACCCCACATATTCCTGTCTTCCTGATTCAGCAGCACGCTTAGCTGCACTATCTGCCATCCGATTCCCTTTGGTTACATCACCATCTCCTCTCAGATGCGCACGACAATGTATAATACCGACTTCTTTCGGCTCCCACACTGCTTCCAATAGTTGTAGGATCTCAGCTGCGTATTTGATTTCTTTGCCTTCTGAATTCAATAATCCTCTTTCTTTATACAAAGCTCCGTGGGCATGAGTGGTTAAAAACGCATACTTGGAGTCCGTGTAAATGTTCACTCTTAAACCTTCAGCCAATTGTAACGCTCGTGTCAGTGCTATCAATTCTGCCTTTTGTGCTGATGTTCCTTTTGCCAGTGGCCGAGCTTCTATCACCTTGTCTATCGTTGTTACTGCATATCCTGCATAGCGGATCCCTTCTTTTACATAACTACTGCCGTCGGTGTAATATTGAACATCAGGGTTCTGGATGGGAAAATCACGAAGATCTGGTCTACTTGAAAATACTTCATCCATTACTTCCAAACAATCATGTTGACTTTCAGTAGGTTGTGGCAAAAGGGTAGCTGGATTTAAGGTATTTACAGTCTCTAAATGCACTCTTGGGTTTTCACACAACATTGCTTGATACTTGATCATACGGCTGTTACTAAACCAATGATTTCCTTTGTAATCCAACAACGTCTGTACTGCATGTGGAACTCGTACATAAAGTTCTTGACCCAGAGTGAGTTTATCGGCTTCAGCTACTAGCAGGGCGGCTGCAGCTACAGCTCTTAGACAAGGTGGAAGTCCGCTGGCCACTGCATCCAGTTGCTTAGACATGTAGGCAACAGGTCTTTGCCATGATCCCAAGTACTGTGTCAATACTCCCACAGCCATTCTTCTTTGCTCATGTACATACAGGTAGAATGGCCGTGTGTGGTCAGGTAGACCTAATGCTGGGGCACTCATCAAAGCCCTCTTCACATCTTCGAATGCCGTTTGCTGTTCTTGAGTCCATAAGAAGGGGTCGTGCTCTGTACCTTTGATAGCTGCATACAGAGGTTTTGCCAGTATCGCGTAGCTGGGAATCCATATCCTACAGAAGCCTGCTGCCCCCAAGAATTCTCGCACTTGTCTTCTATTCCTGGGTATCGGTATTTGGCACACAGCTTCTTTTCTCTCTGGCCCCATAATTCTTTGACCTTCAGAGATATGGAATCCCAGATATTTGACAGTTGGCAAACACAACTGAGCCTTCCTTCTTGACACCTTGTATCCTGCCTTCCAGAGAATGTGTAGTAGATCGTGCGTTGCTTGCTGACATACTTCCTTTGTAACTGCTGCTATCAACAAGTCATCTACATATTGTAATAATACACACTCTCCTGGGATAGACTCGAAATCTAGTAGATCTTGACTTAGAGCTGAACCAAATAGGGTAGGTGAATTTTTAAACCCCTGGGGCAATCTTGTCCAGGTCATTTGGCGTTTCGAGCCCGTTACAGCATTTTCCCATTGGAAAGCGAAGATACATTGGCTTTCTGCGGCAATTCGGAGGCAAAAGAAGGCATCTTTGAGATCTAAGACTGTAAAGTAAGTAGCCCCGCCCGGAATTAAAGCAAGCAGGTTATATGGATTGGGCACGACTGGATGTATACTAACAACCGCATCATTGACTGCTCTCAAGTCCTGCACAGGTCGATACTCATCTGTACCGGGCTTTTGAACAGGCAGCAATGGGGTGTTCCAGGGGGAAGTACAGAATTTTAGGATACCATACCGTATGAACTTATCCAGATAAGATTGGATGTTCTTCTTAGCCTTCTGCGGAATATGATATTGTCTCAGGCTTACTGGATAAACCCCAAGTTTTAGTTCGATTTTAATAGGTGGAATATTGCGGGCCAGTCCTGGTGGGTTGTTCTCTGCCCAAACTCCTGGTATGTTAAATAAGGATTCATCACTCCTCGGGTTTTGGCTAGTCAACACTGTATAAAGTCGCCACTCTTCTTCCTTTGGTACGGACAATGTCATAATACCTGAGGGTCCATTAAACTTTAAGGATGTTGTTCCATTTGGTAGGAACGTAATCTGCGCTTGTAATTTGGATAGCATATCACGTCCCAGCAATTGGACTGGACACTCAGGCATATAAAGGAATTGATGTTTTACTACGTGGCCTCCCAATGTACAGAGTCGACTTTTAAGAACCGGTTTTTCAGCACTTCTTCCAGTTGCTCCTATTACAGTAATAGTTCTTCCAGATGGAGGAGCAACTTGATTAGTCACCACCGAATGTTCAGCACCAGTGTCGATCATAAACGCACTCCTTTTTCCCCCTATTGATACATCGACCATAGGCTCCGCTCGACCAAGGGGGATGGAGCCCGGTCGGTATCAATAGTCCTCCATGACCGTGTCAGCCAATCCCACAAAGTCCCTACCTTCTCTATCGCGGGACCTTTGCGCTGCTGGATAGTACCTATCTTCCCTTACACTTCCTCTGTTCCCATTACTCCCTCTATTACCATTACTCCCTCCGGGGCCTCCTCTACCTCTCGCTCTGCCTCTAAAGTTTCCGTAACCTGCCCTGGGTAAGTCTCTCTCATACTGCTCTCTTCAAATCAGGATATTCAGATCTAATGGGGGTTGGTCCTGGTTCCGGAAGGGGAGTTTTAATACGAGGGGGGGTGGATTCTGTACTGGAGGAGGAAGCGGAAGTGGATGGGGGCAATAGGGGAAGGGGTGCAGAGCTTCCTGCATTCGCGTCACTTCCTCTTAAAGGAAAGTAAGGAGGCGGCAAAGGGATCTCGGACTCAGGGGGCGTGTCCAAAATGGGCCTAACACCAGTCCTAGTGGACAAACAAGTCCTGGCCACCATGAGGCGACATTGCTCCTCGTGGCATATCCGGATCCATTTTGGCGAGTCGTTTACGGCCTGCCCCCAACAATCAATGTATGGAAACTGTCCGTAAAGTTCAGGCCTACCTGATACAGCCACGTGTACACGCTGTACCAGGGTTGGATCCAAACTGCCACGCGGCGGCCATGCCGCAACCAAAATAGGCCACTCCCTAGTGCACAAAGTGACCAAACGTACAGGAGACATTTTAACCCCAAAATCACATGTTTTGAATCCCTTTTTAAAATTCTTTACCATACAACCTAAGGGATCCGAAATCGTTGACTCTGACGCGCCCATACTTATCAATGGAACGTCGTTGACAACGAATACTATGCACGCGTTCTTATTCAACAGTCACACCCGTTTCCTCTGGCAACAGCACCACGTGGTACAGTTACCGAGTGAAACGTACACAATAACACAATAATCACTCAGGGAATTCCCGTACACACACAGCTGTTACACCAGTCACTAAATAATCAATATTATGCCCTTTGGCGAAACTATACAGTCACCCACGCTATAATTCTCTATATATGAATTACCCGTCTATAACACACCCCAGTAACATCGTCTTTTACTAGTATCGGTTACAGTACGGTTAGCATAGGTCAAAGCACAATTTAAGGTCACAATACAATTATTAGTGGTTACGGTGTTAAACATGCAATAGACGACAATGATTAGTACTTATATACAGTGTCAGTAAATATACAGGGTTATGGTACCGTGCACTATGATACAGCAACACACTATTAACACTCTCGCTAGACGGCTGAGCTCGCGCTATCTAACAAGATATACACTTTACTAA